CGTTGCCACTCATTCCATCAGCAAGAACTGGCCAGACGGTGCCCCTGAGAACGAGGAAGCTCGGAATGAGCTGGCCGAGCAGCTGTTTCCCATGACAGACAGCTCTGTGCTGTAGAAGGGGATGCACAAGTCGTGGTGGAGTCTATACAACTGTGCTAAAACTGTATATTCTAAAGGAATGGTGTCTTTGTATAGTCCTGGGCATTGCAGGGTTAGAAACATCATTTTTGTTCCCAAGTCAAAACTTTTGTAGATGTCATCAGTAGAAATATTTCTGAATTATCATGATAATAAGGAGAGAAATGGCTGTTGAGAAAAGATCAGGTGTTCACATCTGTGGTTTCAGATAGCCTGCTAGAGCTCTTGGTTTTGAAATGACTAGTTACCTAAATGCAATGTGATAAATTCAAGAAATTAAAGGAACAGCTCACCGAACCTATCCTCTGGTTGTAGACATCTTGACAGAGAACATGCTCCCCTCTTACATAATTCACAAATATTCAAGGTCCCTTGTTATGGTGGAGATGAATATAATTGTGCATTGACCTGCATAATATTTTAAAGACAACTTTAAGTTTTAGTATATCAGTTTGGCATTGCATTTGACTGCAAGTAACCAAAAACCAAACAAATGGGCTTACACAAATTAGAGATTTCTTCATCAAGAAAACAAGTTCAGAAGTAGGCATTTGCTGGGACTTACTCTACAGTTCAAGAATGTCAACACATATATAATTATCCTGGCCTTTCCTTCATGGTCTGGAAATGGCTGCTGCAGTTCCAGTTATTACATCCACATTCCAGAAAGGAAATGGGAGGAATTGACAAGAAGAAAGGATCAGTCAGTGCCCAGGGCAAGAAAGAAAAATTTTCCGGAAATCACAAGCTGACTTCCACTTCCGTCTTATTAGCAAGAACTGTGTCACATTTCCATCTCTCTTTAAGAAAGTTCTTTTTAGCTAGGCGTATTGCAGTCCTGAGCAAAATCTTAGCTCTGTTAATAAGGACAAAGGAAACAATAGACATTGCGCAGTAGCAAGCAGGGCGCGCCTTTCCATTTCTGCCAGTTTCCACCACTCTGTATTAGCCAACACTGTGTCAGTCTTTTCAGATCTTCCTGCCCCAAGAAGCATCTGAATTTGTAACTGTTGTAAAGAGGGTCACAGATAGAAAATGTTTAAAAGTAGTCTTCAGTTTTCCGAGTTTAGGAACATAATTTTATCCATTCACCCCAAATTAGCTATATTCTAAAGGTTCTGCTAGGCAAACTCTCAGGATACTTGCTGATAAACCATGTTGCCAACTGTTTTAGCTCAGCTCTGTCCAGCAGAATGGGTAAGCCGGACACCCAGGTAGGGTTCCTCCCGGTGCGTAAAGTACACACAAAGGCTGGTCAGAGGGTTGCTTAGAGGCTAAGAAGTGATTCATTAAACTGGGTTAGGCTGAATTACCTTGTCTATGCTAGGCCTAATTGTGATTGCACAAGGAACGAGAAGGGGACAGAACACTTAGAGTGCATGCATCATACCAGGTGTTTTCACATTACCTACTTTTCCAGGTGTTTACGATTGAATGTCATCATCCTTTTTAAGAGAAGAAATTGAAGTCCAGAGGGATTGTCACTTGCCCAAAGTTGCCCAAATAACAGAGCTGGGACTCAATTCCAAGTCTGCCTGTCTTCAACCCACAACTCCCAAGGCGCCCTAGCGCCCGTGAGTGGAATCAAGGAGCTGCAAAGCCCGTGCTCCTTCCTCTATACTCTGCTGCCCCAACCCTCCAGCTGGCTCTTTTCCAGACGCAGAGCTGGACTCATTCTGCTTAACATCATTCCCCTGGCCCCACATCTTCTGAGCATCACATAGTCCCCAGCTTTTTTTTTTTTTTTTTTTTTTGAGGAAGATTAGCCCTGAGCCGACTACTGCCAGTCCTCCTCTTTTTGCTGAGGAATACTGGCCCTGAGCTAACATCCGTGCCCATCTTCCTCTACTTTAATATGGGATGCCTACTACAGCGCGACTTGCTAAGTGGTGCCATGTCCGCGCCCAGGATCCAAACCGACCAACCCCGGGCCTCCGAAGCGGAACGTGGGCACTTAACTGCTGCACGACCAGGCTGGCCCCAGTCCCCAGCTTTTATGAACTCATGATTATTTAGATCAGCTAGAATACAATTTATTCAGTTAGAGCTTTTTTTAGTTACATTCTTCAGCCTCAAGACAATGTGTGGCCTCCTGGACAACTTGACTATTTCCAGTTCTTTTCGGTAACACATTTACAAACTGTCTCTGGAGATGGCAGTCTTCTGACATGACGACTTTCAAACCCGTACATTGGTTTGTGTTATTTCTGTCTTAACGGATGGCTGTTGGTGGTTCTGTCCCCAGCCTTGTCCTGACTGTGGTACACAGTAACCATGTAGTTAGCGCTTTCAGAATGGAGCATTGGATTTGGCCATTTTGTGTTAGGTGCCAATGTAAAGAAACAATTTAGAAATTCATATTTTGTGGGTTCTTTAAAACTCATGGTAATGCTCGTTTTAGAGGCGGGAATCTGTTATCGCACGACTCTACTGTGTTCATTGCAGTGGTCTAGTCCCCACTGAACCATGAGGGCAGGAGCCCTTCCTGCCTCGTGACTGCTGCACGGCCCATGTGCCTGCACAGAGCACAGCCCCGCGTCTCAGCCCATACACACTTGTCAGGTGGATAAATGGGACTCTCCAAGCAATAAAGCAGCAGTGGAGAATTAACAATCACGTCACAAGTCTGCTTAGTTCTTTTCCATATAATTTACTTATGACACCTAATGGGGCTGTTTCTGTACTACCGCAAAGGTGTTCTTAATTGTTGGGAAAATACCATAATAATCGTTGTCATGATGTTAACCCACAAGTTCTTGAGAACACTTATAAAATAAAATTGTGAAGCACCAAATCTCAGACAATACACTTTCTCACATGTTTCAAAGGTTACAAATACAATCAACAGAAAGAAATGAAACCAAACACAGTCCCAACAAAAACACATTATATCAGAAGTTATGTGATAAAGCTAGTCTTTCAAATCAGTAGAGAAAAGATGAATGATTCAATATATGATGTTGAGACAATTAACCATAAAAAATTACATTCTTAACACACTGTACAGAAAAATAAATTCAAAATGGAATAAACATGCACATATTTAGTCCATAAAATAGAAAAATATATGGGAAATATTTTTAGTAAGGATTAGAGGAGGATGGGTTTAGCTACTGCCAGGCGGTACACACAGCAGCTGTAAATAAGGTGCATAAACCACCCTAAAAACTTTGAAAAGGGGCCAAATACATTCTCAAAAAGGGATCCTCTCACAACTCACAAAAATATAAATATCCTAACATTTGACAGATGTCAAGGTCAAAAAACATTTTTAAAAAGACTAATAAAGCTGAATACATAAAAAATATAAAACTTCTATACAGCAAAAGACGTTATATAAAAATAGAAGATAAAAGATATAGTCAAATCTTGACAAAACACAGAACTAAGGGTCACTATCCATAAAGTGTTAAAATTTATCAATCAAAAAGGAAAAAACACAACAGAAAAGCAGGCACAGGATATGAATAGGCAAGTGATTATAAAAAAAATACTTCATTCATAATTTTAAAAATGCAATTTTAGGGGCCAGCCTGGTGGCACAGTGGTTAAGTTCGCATGCTCCGCTCTGCTTTGGCAGCCTGGGGTTTGCAGGTTCAGATCCCAGGTGCAGACCTACACACTAGTCTTCAAGCCATGCTGTGGTGGTGTCCCACATACAACATAGAGGAAGATTGGCACAGATGTTAGCTCAGCAACAATCTTCCTCAAGCAAAAAAAGGAAGATTGGAAACGGATGTTAGCTCAGGGCCAATCTTCCTCACCAAAAAAAAAAAAAGAAAGAAAGAAAGGGAGAGCCATTTTAAATGAGATATTTTCACAAATAAGAACTGATCATTCTTTAGCCTGGTGTGACTGTGGGAAGCCAGCCCTCTCAGGCACTGCTGTACAACATTGCCGAGAGCGATCTGTCCAAAATTTTAATGTGCAATGGGCCTGGCACTTCAAGTCTAGGAAGAGATCCTACAGAAATACTTGCACGAGGGCGTGGGCATTTGTAGCAGCATTGTAATACCAATAAGTTGACAGCTATCTAAATGTCCATGAATAAGGAACGATTAAATAAATTACAGTCCTTCCATGCAATGCAATACTTCTATGAAGCCATTGTTCTAAAGGATGAGGTAGGTCAACACAGACTGACACGTAAAGATACCCCACAATGTGTCATTAAGTGACTGACTAAACAGTATATGTGGGATGATCTCAACATTTTTAAAATGATGTAATGTTTAAACATACATTAGAAGGATATATGTGTGCCTATCTCTAGGGAGTAAAAACACAGGGCATTCACCTTTTAACCTTGAGTGTTCATTAAATTCTCTCTAACCTTGTATTACATCTATAATCCAAAAAGATTTTCAAGCCCTTAAAAACTATCAATCATTTGAGAAAAGACCCCATTTTTTTATAAGAGCTGTGTGTTTCCTTTCCAATGCTCCAAAGGACTTGCCCAAAGTCAAGAAGTCAAGTGGGGCCAGACGCTGTCCTTGCCCTGCAGCGTGGGGTAACATCGCCTCTACACAGAGTCCTAACTCCTGAGAGATTAAGTCCAACCTGAGGTTGACTTCGCCTGACAATGGGTGTTTCTCTTCACTGTATGTGAAGACGAGAACACACATGGCAGCTGGTGAATACGTTGCGTAAACCCCCAAAAGCACTCCCTGAAGTGGGCAGAATATGTTCAGAAAAAGGGATCCTATGACAATTCGCCATCAAAATATATAAATATAAATATTCTAACATTTGACAGTCAGATATTCGCACAGGCCCTGCCAACGAGATTCACTCATCAGCTCTGCACTGTCTTTACTGGCCACTGAGGAAGCCAGGCGAGCAGTCAGGCCGGCAAGCCCCTCCTATGCACATGAAGACATGTGGCTGGTTGGCTCGCAGGCCATGTGGAGCTCCACCGGGCCTGACGGCCCAGGAGTTACAGCGGCTTCTTCATTCACCTCCAAGAAAGCGCTGGTCTCTTTGGGAGAAGTAGACTTCTTCTTATGGCAGGCTTCTGCACAACCTGGCTTCTTCTTTCTGTGTTTGCTCTTCATTCTCCTCTTGTACATCTTATATGCTAGGTGTTAAAGCATGCGAGTATTAAAAATCACTTTAGTAAAGACTATAATTTGGTGACATTGTATACTTGTCAATACTCTGGGAGTTTGTTTTCTTTGGGTCACATATGTGTAAACAAACAGGAAAAAGAAGAGAGAAAAAGAGAGAAAACTATGGAACAAAATAATTGAGTGTATCAAAATGGCTATCTTTGTCTGGAATGGACCATTGGTGAATGAGACTTATTCATCAGGTTGCTGATGGCTCATCCTTTCATTCAGTCATTCAGTCAGTCAGCAACTCCTTGTAAAGTGCTTACTATGAGTCAGGGGCTCTCCTGGATGCTGGGAGATAGCTGGGAGTCAGCCAGACGTGTTCTGTCCCTCACGGTCTCACCATGAGAAGGAATTAAAACTTGGATCCAAGACCCGGTGTTTTATTCTGCTACCATTTCTCTTATCTTGTGGGAAAAATTAAACCACAAGCATTCTTTATGTGGATGGGTATGTCAGCAGTCAGTAAATATGTAATAATCAGTAATCAGTATAAAATCAGGAATATCAGTAATCATTGAGCCTTACTCAGAACCTGTTCCCTGACAACAGTAAAAATTTACAATGGCCCAAGATTAAAAAATCTATGTGTGTATATCTATATTTTATTCATTTACTTTCTGCAAACCTACATAATGACCCCAGAATGATACATCTTTGGCTGTATGAATAGGGAAGCGCATATACACACCCACATATATTATTTCAATATCTGTATATATACCATATTTCATAGTTGAAAATCATTTCACAGCCATTTGGCACAACTCTTAGTCACAGAAGCACTGTGAAATAACTTGACATTTGGAAGACTCTCAAGGCTCTTGATGAAACATAACAAATGTCATTTTTCAAATAAGTGATTGCTCATCGAGACTTAAGTCCCAGAATCTAAGTTCTCATAGTGGATTGTCTTTCGTGAAGCATATTTGTTTATCTATAAGCTCACTTTCACATGGTTTTTTACATTTTTCTGTGAAATGTCCACTTGTGGCAAAGGATCTTGTTTATGCGTGTTATTTTCCCCTGAAATGTCAGGCTAAAAATATGTCGTAAGGGCAGCACACATATCCTCAGTCTGAAAAAGGAGTTGGTAAATTGGGTTGACAATTTTCAATCAAGCCCACCCCATGGGGGCTATACTCACCTGCAATAATGAGAAACCCATCCAACAGCTGGAAGAGCCCGTAGGCCAATGGGAAGCTAAGCATCTGGACCAATTCCCTGGCAGTAAAAGATAACTGGAGCATGGTGACGCACATCTGAATATTCTGAGCTCCAGTTTCTAAAGAAATCGTCCTGCACCTACCAATAAAAAAATTTTTCAAGAGTTAACATATTAGCAATAAGGACTGTTCTTAAATTTTCTCTTATGTACAGCAATAAATGTAAACCATGAGCTTAGGCCATTAAAAATGTTTGCTCATTCAGTAATTATTTGCTGAGCGCCTACCCTGTAGGTGGTCTCCTGAGAGGCACTTCGGAGGATCGGGCCCTACAAACCCTGTCCTAGAAATCTGGGTGAAAAGGCAACATACACACACAAGAAAGATTCAGTAACAACACAGCACAAAGTATATCGAGGGCCAGGGAGATGCTGTGGAAATTCAGAAAAGTGACATAAGTGGTTAGAGAAGGCTTCACAGAGGAGGTGTGAGATTAAAGGATGGAAAGAGTGGAAGAGGCGTTATTGTGGGAAAAATGATTGAAATTAACACGTATGAGCTTGGCCTGTTCAGGAGGCATCGCACATGCTGTAAGCCAATCTGCGTGGAAATGGAAGATTGGAGGAGATGAGACGCAAAGTTGAGTCAGAGGCATGACACAGTGCAAATTAAATGACACTTGACAATCAACATAAAACCCTAAATGAAAACCAAATGTCTAACATGATTTCTTTGGTGAAATGGTTTAGTAATAAGTTTTTCTACTTTCTGTTTCTCTATATTTTATTGGTTTTCTAATTGCAAAGAAAAAAAATGAAATAAACCTCAGTTGAGAAAGAAAAAGCAGTAGGGAGAGAAAGAAAGACACAGGTGGGACCCTGGGGGCTGGGTTCAGCGGTTTCATCTGTCCTCAATTTTGAAAGGGCATCTTCAGGTTTTTATAAATGGAAGACGAGAGGAAAGAGGTGTTTCAGAAGATGCACCAGCATCTCTATGCAAGCTGGATGGGAATGTGGAAGTAACGAGTACGTAATGTGGGAGTGAAAATATTGTCACTAATACAGGGCAAGTTCTGTGGCTCTTATTTTGCTGCTTCTTACCCTATTGCTTGCTACACATTCTTCACACTCCCCTCACTTGTTTCAGACCCCTGTCAATAACTTGAAATGATTAAGCTACTAAGCTGGACCTCACACCTGGACCGTTCACAAGGCAAATGCAATATCTCAGTCCTGATCTTTCTCAAGCCATCAGGTATGAAAAAAGCAAGACTGTTGACTACACTTTGCCATAGAAATACTCTCTCTGCAGATCCAATTATATTTCAACCACTCAACAGTCTGTGCTCCTCATTATTGACTTTGGAATCAAACCCAAATGGTCAAGTTCCTTACCTTCTCTGAAGGGCTTGCTCATTGGTAGGTGAGGATCCTGATAGTATCTACCTCTCGGGCTTGTGGTAAGAAGTAAATGAGATACACTTGGCGCAGCCTTACCCAGTACTTGGTACCGTCCTACCTGTTCCCCAAGTGGGCTAGAAACAGCATAAAGCCAGTTCAATCTTTGCCAAACTCTACTTTTGGAATTCAATTCTATAGTTTACTTTTCTTCCGTAATTCTTTTCTAGTTTTAAAAGTAGTACAATACTCATTGAAAAACTTAGAAAATATATTAAGAAACTAAGAATATTAAGAAACTAAAATTACTCTTCATCCCACTACTCAAAATTAAACACTATTAGCCTATGGTGTATTTCTTCCAGTATTTTTCCATGCGTAAAATTCTTTTGCTTTCTTCTACAAAATGGAATCAAAATGTATACCATTTTCTATTCTTTTTTCACTTAAATTTCTGTCTTAAGTATTTTCCAAAATCATTAAAATTGATGCATCATATCCCACCACATAGACACATCATGAATTCAACATCTCCCTATTGTTAGATACTTAAATTGTTTCTATTTTTTATATTTATAAAAACACTGCAATTAACATCCTTGCACATCAATATTCATGTGCTTATCTGATAGTGCTAGCTTCAGGACAGAATTTTAGAAGTAAAACCACTGAATTAGCATCTTTAAATATTTATAAGCCTATTGATATGACTAAATTGCCTTCCAGAGAGTTTATGCCAATTTACGTTCCCTCCAACATTGTATGATATCTCGTCTACGGGCACACCAACGTGGAGTATTATCATCTTCAATATTTCACAGTATTTATAAATTATATGTCCCAACTTGTAATGATAATCTTTAAGGTAAATTCCCAAATTTCTCAAGTTTGTCCTTCCTCCTCTGGCCCCTTATAGTTTGCGCTTTAAAAAAATTTGGCACAAAGAACAGATAAACGCTTATTATCTTAAGTCTTTCTCATGCCCTAGAATGATCTGTATATTTACCGAAACCACCTCACCCCTTCTATCTAATCACTAAAATAAGAAGAGAAATGTGTCCAGATTTCAACAAATGGTGTCAACACCCCAATCCTAATTTCACAGATTACAACTTCCCATCAAATTAGCCTTTGCTTTCATTTACATAAAGAAGTACTGTGATCTTTTCACCCTCTTTCTGATGAGTTGTCCTGCCCATCCACCTTGTAAATCAAAACTCTTAATGTCTTCTTACACAGCCAGGCAGCAAAGCCTGCCAGTGACAGAATGTTTACTTTATCCTCCTCAAAAAAGTTTGTGGATAATTTAACGGTACCTCTGCCAAGATTGGTGGGTAAGAAGCGCCAGCAGAAAGCCCGTGACATGGCCAATCAAAGGAAAGATGAAACTGATGGTCAGAAGAGTGGTGTCTAAATTCGAAGATCCTTTCGCCAGCACCACACCAGCAACTGCGACCACCACAATGAGGACCCCACCAACAATGGCCCCAATCTAAAGCAAACCAATGAAATAAGTGCACGTAAGCATCATGGTCTTTTTGCTGTATGATGCACAGTCCATCAGTGCTCTGAAAGGCTTAGAACCTAGAAGTTTTAGAACAGAGAGATGACTTAGGGACTACCAAATCCAATCTCATTTTACAGAGAAGAAACCAGAGGTCCAAAGTGGTGAAGTGACTTGGCTAAGCTGGAAACTGGTGAGGCTCAACACAAATTCAACTCTTCTTATTTTATGATCAGTAGCTGCTCCCTCCAAGTAGAAGATTTGGCCAGAAGGACTGGGAAGTGGAGTATTTCACGGATAGAATAAATTTGTGATATAAGTGAAATCTGACAATAAACATCCAACACCACTACACACAATTCTGAGACCCCTCCCTGGTAACTCTCGTCTGAGATCCGCCCTGCCTGATCATCCACCACTCTCCTCCCATCACTCTGCAACCACCAACAGCTTCTTCCTGCTTGGATCCCTGCCCTCCTCTCCGTCAAGTGAAATTTACCTACTCTTCATTGGACAATTTGAGCTAATATTAAAGTAATATGAGATGTACTAACAGATACCTCTTTCCTCTCCCGAAGGAATACTGTCTCTTACATTTGTTGTTTAATAGAAGCAAAAAATCAACAAAAAAAATTTTCCAATGGATTTGAGTTTTAGATCAGACGGGGAGGAAGTAAGACTCAGAATATCTGGGGAAAGTCAGGATCTTGGCAAACTCTCATTCACACCATGTAGACGGTCAACTATGCACCTACCTACAGCATCAACCTTGATTTGCAGTGACTCAGGGTGTGGAGAAATGTGGTCACGGGGAAACAAAACAAAACAAAACAAAAACAACCCAATGTACCATAGGTGTGCTCTCGAGGGTGTTTTTACTGCTTAGAAACAGGGACAAACTGGGCCCCCACCTCACGGGAAGATGCTGCAACACACAAGGAAGGCCTTTGATTGTAAAAATCCCTCTTGATCTTTCTACCAAAAAGAGATTTCAAAGTTTAAAATTCACCAAGAGCAATTTGTTCAGAAAATGTATCTGATCTAAAATTAAAAGAGGACTAAGAACAGAGAATTAAAATATACCAAAATAATGGTCAAATTATCCTAGTTTTTTACTAAGGTACTCTAGAATATTTATGCATATTATTAAATATTGTCTGCCGCAAAGCCTATGGAGTAGCCAGAGGAAAGGAGTTTTATTTATTTATTTATTTTTTTTTTTTTTACAGATTTTATTTTTTCCTTTTTCTCCCCAAAGCCCCCCGGTACATAGTTGTGTATTCTTCGTTGTGGGTTCCTCTAGTTGTGGCATGTGGGACGCTGCCTCAGCGTGGTCTGACGAGCAGCGCCATGTCCGCGCCCAGGATTCGAACCGACGAAACACTGGGCCACCTGCAGCGGAGCGCGCGAACTTAACCACTCGGCCACAGGGCCAGCCCCAGGAAAGGAGTTTTAAATCTGTTCTCTATAGATAATAAAACTGACATACAGAAAATTTATCTAGTTTCTCCATTGACATTGATGGACTAATAGAGAATCTGGAAACACCAAAATTGTGACTTTTTTTCTTAGGTGCCCTTTTAAGAAAAGTAATCTAAGAAAGAGTACTTGAAAAGTAAGAGGTTCCCATGACCATACTCTCTCCCCTTGTTTTGGAAACAAAATTTTAATCATAAACTGCCACATTGGAAATTTTCTCCTACCAAGATAATAATAATGAATGTGGGAAAAAAAAGGACTTTATTCCATGCGCACAGCTGGAAAAGAGAGTGAGCTCAAGTGGGCACGATCGATGTTAAAGTCACCCACATGAGCTCTGAATAGACAACATGTAAGCCCTCGTCCAGCTCCCTGGGCCCAACCGATCTGCCTGCTTGTCAACCCCTCTTCTCTCATTCTCCATCTCACTGGACAGGCAGTGGGAGCTGTTCAGTCTTGTGCCAAAGTAGGAAAGCAGCATCCCCCTGGCAGTGTTCTGTCAGGTAGAGGCAAACATCGAGAGCTTAAACCGAACCAAACCATAAAGCCCAAACTAAAATAACTGAGATGTATTTGCTGAAGCTCCAATTAGCCCCAAGCGTTTATTTCTCTATAAATGTAAAATATAACTAAAACATTTTTAAAGTCTTCATGAAGCAGTACATAATACAATCTTATATCTTCTAAAAAAATACATAATCGGAAAAAGAGAAGACACGCTAGGAGATTGACACCGTTATTGAGAAAGCCTCCTCTCCAGCTAGATATTTTTCAAAGCCATTCAACAAGGACGTGTGCTTGTTTCTCCAGCGGACAAAAGACAGCTTGGCAAAGTCAGCAGGAGGGAGGAGGTTCTGGCTGCCATCATTCCGTGGCAAGAGTCCTCAGTGCAGTTCTGGACGATTCATTTGGACAGTTAGCCATGTGGTCAGCAGCCCCTGCTCCTGTGTACAAACTACAACTTTAGAAGCTCCTGGAATGCTTCTGAAAGACAGCTCTTCATCCTACTTTCCCATGAAAGCAGCCACACTCCTAAACCCTGGGGCTCCATTTCCCACACATCTGAACTACTTTCACTGTGAGAGCGACCTGTGTGAAGCCTCCTGAATGAATGGGCTCTCTGGCCACACACAGGCTTCGGCTTTTCTGTATCTAAAGCAAGAGTGCCTCACTTTCCAGGGTGTGATAGGTCTCAGCGGATGGACCAAGGGGAGTGACGGAGCAAGGCTTGGAAAGGAAGAAATTATACACTGTATTCAACTGGCCCCTTTGTTCCAGTCATCACCTACGTCTGTCTGTCAAGTCTCCGAGTCTAAGCTGCTTACCTTGAGGATGATTTTGGATTGTTTTGGCCACCTGTAATTCACGCAGACACCGAAGGCCACAGGAATGGTCAGGCACACAAGAGTAATTCCTGAAGAGAAGAAAAATCTGTCAGACGATATCCTCTCACCCTAACTGCCCAGTCCTCAACAATTTCTACTTCAGTTAGATAAAGGCTTTCATTAAGGCTGCGTTTTATTTCTGCATCCACCTCCAAAAAATTCTTTTAAATCTTTGGATTTAAAAAGGGCATATGATACTACTAATGCCACCAACCTGGGCAGTCACTTCTCTCGGAATTCCGCTGACAGTGACATGGGATTTCAGAGACAAGGGGAAATGTACAGATTAGACAACAGGAGGACCTGTTCTCTATGTCTGTGAAATTCTTTGGTTTCCACGTCTGGGGTCACCACCCTACAAATGCAGCTATTGTTTCCCTATTTGAAGCCAATGGTCATTTGCTTCACAAGGTAAAGAATGCCTACTGTAGACATAAAAACACCATTTGTTACACATACCAAAGGAGTTTCTCATATTCTCCAAGTGTAGCCAGATAACCCAAAGTGGGTAAAAAAAAAAAAATGCCTTTTAATTAACACATGTGAATAAAGGCACTGAAAACAGGCTCAATAGAGCAGAGCTCAACTCACCAGCAGGGTCCACACGCTGACATTTTCCAAAGCCACTTTCCAAATCTGGCCAAATGCCTGCGATAGTGGCTCCAAAGCCAAATGAGCTGCTCATAACATTTTGGGGTTTAATTGTTTACGAGTGCCTTTCAGAATATATTATCAAACAGAATATGCTAAATAACCTACTGATCAGAAGTCGCACACGAACTCATGATTTCTAAATGAAGATTTCACTCAAATTATACAAGTTCAGTGGGCTCCAGCTGTTGCCAGGAGATGGCTCTATTCGTGGTTTGGAACTATGGGCCATGGGTTGTAAGTCCTCCAAGTGCTTGCTGGAGACTCCAGGTGACACTTTAGAGTTTTAAGAATCATGGTTTCCACCAATTCTCTAAAGACTCTGCCCAAACTAGAACAGGTAGGTCATTTCACCATGTTTTTCTTCCAAGCCTAGTAAGTCCACAGAGATCTCTAGAAAGAGGGCAGAGTTTAATGAGAAATAACATTCAGGAAAGGAGACAATGAAAGATGTGGATGGGGTTGTGACACATGGATACACTTTAGTCACCAATAGGAATCATTTATGTTGATCAGGAAAGAAGTCAAAGCTCCCAGGCAACGGGAAAGGTGGATTCATGGGAATGAAGGTCTCATTAGAGCCACTGTGATCCAGTCAGCCTTTGGGTCATAACGAGTCCAATTGCTTTATAGTGAATTATATAAGTGTTTGGTTTTGGGGGGTTTTTTTAAAGTAGGTTTTCGGGCTTTATTTTCAAAAGTGAACTCTTGCAGGGGTTAAGAGCTTGGACTTTGCAGTCAGATTCCCAAGTCAGAATACCAGCTCTGCTCTTACCAGCAGCAAAACCTGGGTTGAGTTACTTAATCTCTCTAACTCTGAAAATATAGGAAATGAAACTAGTAATAGAATCTATACTATAGGGTTATTTAGAGAATTAAGTTAGATAATATATAAAAAACCCTGCATAAAGGAGACACACAGTAAACAATAGCCATTATTGTTACCATCACACTACTCTTACTATTCCATTTTCCAAGCCCAATACAGACCTATGTTCTGATATGGAATGGTGAGATTCTGCTCCAGATTCCAGGACAAGGTGTAGAGATAAAGGCAGAGTGGCATCATCCCCAGGGCAGCCACTGTGGAACAGGTGGTCATACTGATGCTGAAAGTAAAATTAAAATGATGCTTAAGAGGGAGAGTTTGAAATGAAGAATCTAGTCCTAACCCAAAGCAACTCCTGGGACTCCACTTCTTAGCGATTACATGGTGTAAGTTACTGGAAGTTTCCGTCTTATTATTCAACAAATGATGGCTGTACCGGGGTCTAGAAAAAGATTTCCAGCAGTTCTTGCCATCCATCAATTAACTCATGTTTATTTGAGCATCTACTTGTCCTAAACGTTCTGCTAGTCACTATACGGATTCTTTTTTTTTCCATATACAGTTCTTTTTTACTGAGATATAATTAGTAGACCCCAAAAGTCATCATTTCAAAGCATTTTTAGTATGTTCACAAGACTGCACTATTTCCAGAATATTTTCATCATCCCGAAAAGAAACTCGACCCCATTAGCAGTCACTCCCCATCCGCTTCTTCCCCCAGCCCCTGGCAACAGTAACTTATTTTCTGTTTTTATAGGATTGCCTACTCTGGACATTTCATATCAGTACAATCATACAATATGCGGCTTTTTGGTGTGTCTGTCTTATTCCAATTAGCCTAATGTTTTCAAGGTTCATCCATCTTTTAGCATGTATCAGTACTTCATTCATTTTTATGACTGAATAATATTCCATTGTGTGGACTATGTCACATTATTTCTGTCCATTCATTAATTGATGGACATTTGAAGTGTTTCTAATTTTTGGCCATTATTAATAATGCTGCTATGAATAATTGTGTACAACTTTTTGTGCAGACATATGTGTTCGATTCTCTCAGGTATATAACAGGAGTGGAATTGCTGGATCATGTGGTAATTCTATGTTTAATTTTTTGAGGAAATGACAGAGTGTTTTCCAAAGCAGCCACACCATTTTACACTCCTACCATCAATATACGAAAGTGTTTTCTTAAGGATTTTTGCATATATGTTCATACAGAATATTGGTCTGAGTTTTCTTTTCTTGTGATGTCTTTGGTATGGGGGATGGGACTGGGGGAAGTTTGCCTCAAAGCTGACTAAGTGTTTGCCCAGTAAGAGGTGTTGTTAGATATCTGTCAGGAAGAAGTCACCCAGATACCATATGTCCTAAGGTTCCTTTTGAATAGAGAAGGGACCCCATGTACTGATCCTCAGACAGAGCAAACTGGGAAGAGCCAGAGAAGCTACAGAACCATAACAAAAAAGGCTCGATACGGGATGCTAGACTAAATTGAAAGTTCCCTTCCAATTCTGATACTGTGCGATTCATGATTAGAAATAGGAATTGAAGTAGAGAGACGAGTTAGAGTAAAAAGTCAGATTTCTAGACTTGAAAATGATGCTGTGATTGACAGAAGAACTGGCTCATTTAGCATCAATTTGAGGGGCCATGTTAAGTTAGAGGTGGTAATGAGACATCTACTGGAAATATCCTAGGGAGGCAAAGCAAAACTCAGGACCACAGCTGATGCCATCACGAGATACAGATCTGGCCATCTTGAGAGTGACATGAAGGTGCATGAGCTGAATGAACCAAACCCAAACAGTCCAGCCAATAGCCGTGCAGCACAGCTTCATCAGGTGAACAAGTGAGAATAACAGAGTCGACTCTTGGTCTTTGTTGAACAAAGCTGGAATGATTTCTAATAGGCAAACTAGTTGGTTTATCTTTGTCATTATTGAGATTATATCTAGCTAAAAAGGCTAACAAATTTTGTGCCTTGGGTCTTAAGGATTTGCAAGTACATAATATCTAGTAGGAAAAAAGTCCTTCAGTTCAGAAGTTTCAAAGACCGCGTATCTCGGTTACCGTACTTTCGTTGTATCGTATGAAATGTCATTGCTCATGAATTTGTAATATATTGTTTTTATTTTTTCCAAATATAGAAAGCCTTATTTTGTAAGTCTTTACATTACTTTACACATTAAAATTTACATTCTCTTTACACATTAAAATACATAACTTTGGAGAAGGAAAAAAGCATGTGAATGAGAGAGCAGGGGCCAGGGAGCAGAGCCTTGGAGGGGCCCGGGCTGCTCTGGACCAGGGAGAAGGAGGTGAGCCCGCACTGCACGCAGAGACAGAGCAGGCAGAGAAGCGAGTGGAGAGCCAGGAGGTTACATTTCATGAAAACTAAAAAAAGAAAATGCCAACAAGACATCAGAGAGGATGAGTACCCAAGAAGTTGATTCAGTACCGTCCAACCCTCCCCCAGGGTTTTGCACCTCCACCCCAAATCTATCCTTTCCATCTCCCACTTCCACGCCCAGCTCCCAAGCTCAGGCTGTCTCCTGTCCCCATCTGGGTGACAGAACCAGGGAAAGAATGAATCAGTACAGTTAAGGGAAATAAGGTAAATGGAAATGAGATATCCTTCATGCCAACAAAACATTTTATCTTTAAATTGCTGGAAAAAATCTCTTACACAATCTGTTTAAGCACGTACAAACTGTTTACAGACACGATTAATGCTGGTCTGCCTGATGAGGTGAGGCGAATGGAACATCGCAACACAACCCCGGGGTAAAGCAAGAGTTTGTTCACCTCAACACCTGGTCCAGAGAGTCCGGGAACTTTTTAATACTCATTGTTTAAGTTCTCGCATCAGACTGCTTTTCTCATAGCACAGGCCCAATCTATGTCCATGGCACAAATGGCTGAGAGACTGAGAGGCAGAGACCCTTTCAAGGGCTAAGGTCTGCTGCAGAGATAGCTACTGTCCTCCAAGTCACCCATTGTTCTTCCTCATAACAGATATCACCAGTGTTTCCATCTAATCCCCCTGCCTATGAAGCCGCTCTGTCTATGATTACTTTGACGTTTTCTATCAGAAGAATGCTTATACCCCCGGCAAAGCAGCCACAATTTTACTTCAATGATACTAAAAATACTCCTTCTGGGAACCCTCATCCACTGCTGGTGGGAAGGCAAACTGGTACAGCCACTATGGAAAACAGTATGGACATTTCCGAAAAAATTAAAAATAGAAATTCCAGATAATCCAGCTGTCCCACTACGGGGTGTTTATCCAAAGATGTTGAAATCAACAATTCAAAGAGACTTACACACCCCTATGTTGATTGCAGCATTATTCACAATAGCCAAGATACAGAAGCAACCCAAGAACCCAAGGACTGATGAGTGGATAAAGAAGATGTGGTATATATACAACGTAATACTACTCAGCCATAAAAAAAGACAAAATCGTCCCATTTGCAAGAACATGGATGGACCTTGAGGATATGATCTTAAGTGAAATAAGCCAGACAGAGAAAGACAAACACCACATGATTTCACTCACATGTGGAAGATAAGCAAACACATGGATAAAGACAACAGTTTAGTGGTTACCAGAGGGGAAGGGGGTTTGGGGGTGGGCGAAAGGGGTAAAGGGGCATATATATATGGTGATGGATAAAAATTAGACCATTGGTGGTGAGCACAATGTAATCTACACAGAAACTGATAAATAATAACGTACAGCCAAAACTACACAACGTTATAAACCATTATGACCTCAATAAAATAACCGAAAAAAAAAAATACTCCTTCTGTACTCTCACTCATTGCTATTGAAAATGCAAAATGGCAAACTACCAGAGGGAGTTTAGCTATATCTAGCAAAATTACACACACATTTACCCTTCGACCCAGTAATCCCACTTCTGGGACTCTATCCCAAAGATGCACCGTCAAAACTAGGAAAAGACATACGCCAAGGTTATTAGCTTCGTGTTCACTGTATCTCGTGACATGGCAGTGTCTGGGCATCAGCATTCCAGGGGAGTGGAAGCAGAAAGTGCAAGGCCCCTTGAAGTTTTGATTTGGAAGTCACATGGCGTCACTTCTGCCACATTCTATTGGTCAAAGCAAGTCATCAGACCAGCCCAGATTCAGCGGTAGGGAAATATTTCCCCCCCTCTGGATGGGAGGACCAGCCTTATCACATTCCAAAGAAGGGTGCATGCAAGAATGGAAGGACTTTGTGGCCCTACTTTGCAATCTCTCACAAACAAACAATGAAATACTTACAGTTAAAATAATACCTAGAGTTTGCCTCAAAATAATCCATTGGGAGAGTGGGGAGTAGAGATAAAATGAGATAGATCATGTGTTGGTAATCAGTGAAGCTGGATAAAAGTGGACTGGGGGTTCACTATACTACTCTATCTACTTCCATATATATTTGAAAGTTTCTACAATAAAAAATGAATAAATAAATGTCCATCTTTCTGGAGGACTGTACAGCATTGCTACCAATCTCGTTAGCTGAGGTTTTCTCTATCATATTTTACCTTGATGGGCATGGTCCCAAATCTCGTATTATGCACATGCTGGCATGATCTAAAGCATTTCCTGCCCAAACCTGGCTGGCTTGGCACTTGTCCTTCCTCAGTGCTGCTGGGTACCACCTCTCTGCCCTGGGGAACAGCTCCCATTGCCCTCTGGACACACTTTTATTGGCATCACCTCACATGCTGCTTACACGCTGTACCCTCCATGAGAGCTTATGTACCTGTTGACATTTGGCGGACTGGAAGCTGCTTAGGGCCCGGCATAGCCTCATGCTCCAGCAAATTGGAGGAGCTCATTAAATACTTACCAAATAACTGTATGAATCGAAGAATGAGCCAATGTATCAATACACTGGTGCTAGAAAAATGTTCTGCCTTCCTCATATGTCATATGTCTGAGGGTAGACCTTGAAAACTTTAGTGAAACAACCTCTTTACACTGGATTCAAATGGCAGACACATCCAATAGCAATCCAAAGGAATAGAGACTTTCTATTAAAACATGACTAAAATCATGCTCTTCCGAGTACAAATGTAACATTTTAAGAACAAACAGTTAGCTGATTGATGTCCCTTTCAGAAATTGAGACTTAGGTAATTCACAAGTATTTGTGTTTTCTCCCCTTTTTTTCCATTAAGCAACCCTGTTTCCTACTTTCTTGCTTGTTCAATCAATAGAGGTTTGTTTTTTTCCTTTTAAAGCAATTACACAATGCACCTT